CAACAGCACACTGCTTGGATGGCTTCAGAGACTGATTGACTATTTACACCAAGATCCCTTTCCTTTGTAACACTATTAAGGTTATTCCCATCCAAATTATGATAACCCACATGCATCATCTTGCATTTATTATAATTAAAACCCATGTGCCATTTATTTGCCCAACTCACTAAATGATCTAAATCCTTTAATAAATCAGCAGCATTCTCTTCACAGCTAGTAACACCCAAGACCTTAATATCATACGAAATTTAAGTAATTTATTGACTATCCCTTCATCTATGTCATTGATGTAAATCAAAAAGAGAAAAGGTCGTAAGATGGAGCCCCGATGTACCCCACTTGTGACATTAATCCAGTTTGACTGAACTCCATTTGCAACAACCTTCTCCTTTCTTCCATTCAGCCACTCTTTTATCCAATTTGCTAACTTATCCCCCACATCTATAGAGCTAATTTGTTTTTACAAGCCTTTTATGTGACACCTTGTCAAAATGTTTTTTGAAAATCTAGATACACCAAATCTACACCCTTACCCTCTTCTACATAAGCTGTAACCTTTTTAAAGAATATTAAAATATTTGTAAGGCAAGATTTTCCCTTAGTGAAACCATGTAGACTATCCAATAAAATTCTAAACTTTGTTAAATGACTTTGCAAAGCATTATTTAACAGACTTTCCAAAATGTTTCCCACAACTGATGCAAGACTAATGGGTCTATAATTACTGGGACAATTTTTATCACCTCCCTTGAAAATAGGAGTTACATTAGCTAACTTTCAATACTCTGGTACCTGCTCACTATTCAAGGACTGACAAAAAATAGTAGCAAGTGGCTCACATATCCAATCTTTAACCTCCTTCAAAACCCTTGGGGAAATATTATCTGGCCCAGAAGCCTTATTATTTTTTCAACTTCCCAATTTTTTCTTAACCAGCTCAGAATTAATGCAGTCATCTTGTTTGATCTCATTTCCATTTATCAATTGATCAAGACGTGGAATACTGTTTAAATGTTCATTAGTAAAAACCGAAGAAAAAGTAAAATTTAATAACCCAGCCATCTCATAATCATCAGATACTAGCCTTCCTTAAGGGTCCCTATCCTAACATTTTGTTTCCCCTTAATGTAGTTAAAGAAATTTCTTACTGTTAATTTTTACATTTTCAGCCAACTTTTTCTCATACATTCTTTCTGATGTTCTAATTTTGATCTTCTAAGTCTCCTGTCATACTGATCAATTTAAATTTCTTAAATTTATGATGGTTTTCTTTAATTTTATTTATTAAACTCTTTGTGAGCCAACCTGGTTTTTTACTTGTAGCTATCCTTTTCTTTCTATTAGGAATATGTTTACATTGAATATTTGAAAAAAATATTTTAGAAATTTTTCTGTATCTGATCAGTATCTCCAAATAACTTAGTTGCCCAATTCACAAGAGTTAACTCTTGTCGCATCCCTTCAAAATTTGCAACCAAAATATCATTCTTCCTTATCTCCATATATAGCAAAACATTGAACCTAATAGAGCAATGATCACTTGTGCCCAGATGTTCCCCAGTTTCCACCCTCTCTGTATTTGAAGTTAACAGTAAGTCTAAAATAGCATTGTTTCTAGTTGGTTCCTTGACTAACTGGTGAAGAAAGCCATCCTGAACAGTTTCCAAAAACATTTGTACCTCATGGGTTAATTCTAGAATTTCCCAATCTATACACCTGAAATTAAAATCACCCATAATTATGACTTCATTAACAGCTGAAATCTTAATCTCATTGTAAAGTTTCTCACTAATTTCATCAGTATCATTTGGTGGTCTGTAACAAATTCCTACTAAAAATCCTTTTCCCTTTATATCCACTAACAGTAACCCAAATGGATTCAATCTTTTTGCTATTATCTTTGATATCCTCAACTTCTACAGGATATAACTCACATTTTACATATAAAGCCACTCCTCCTCCCCTATTTAATACTCTATCCCTATTAAATAGCCTGTAACCCTGTATTTCAAAAATATTTCTGTCATCAAAATCATCTATGTTTAACCATGTTTCAGTTATTCCCATTATATCAAAATCTTTCATTCTTATACTTCTAGCATTACAATAGTAACAATTACGCCTATCCTTATAACTACTTCTATACTAATTTCCTATGCTAAACTTTTTTCTGCCTCTTATTCTTGGCCCTCACCACTGTCTAGTCCTAGTTTAAAATTTCCCTTACAGCTGAGTTAATAGCCTTAGCAAATAAGCCAGCCCCTACTCTATTTAAATGTAAACCATTCATT